CCAGTCAGTTGATAAGTGTATTCAATCCCACATCTGTTTGCAATCACTATCTGCCTAAACCCATTACATCATGTAACTGACCTCGCTGTAAAGACCTCTTCTTTGTACATTGATATAACTCTTTACAACTCTTAGTCTAATATTAATTAAGGGAAGGTATCTTGTTGTGTTTCCATGGCTTGGGGGATGAACACTTCTCATGCCAATTTTTGCATATTTTTTTTTATGTAATAGCTACTTTGTAAACTCTGTTCAAGTGAAATGACCACTGTGCTTCATAATCGCAGTTCAAAAATGTAAGAATTCAACCTTAATATTCCTTAATATTAAGTTCTTTACTTGTTAAACTTGTTATTTTTTAAATAGTTAAATAAATATCCACAAATGACTGTTCATGGTTTATGTGTCTTAACAACACACTGCTTTGATAAAATTAGATAATTTTTCATTTCACAATAGGGATTCCAAATTACCGTTTTTTTATTCACTAAAGAAATATGATACTAACTATTGATGAAGTCCATATTTTAATGATGATAACATAATTTCTTTGGGGAGGCTCCAAAAAATCTCTTGTGCTCATTATGCACAAACGGTGAAGTATAATCCTTCTCATATCCGACCTCCCAAGTTATGCTTTGGAATCATTTTAAACAGTTACTCTTATGAGTGTATTTCTGTGTAAAATGTAATTATTTTTTTTTCTGTTTCATGTAAAGACCCTTAGCATATTCCAGCATGGGAAAAAAACCTTTTATATTTTGACTCTGTAGTCAACCAACATAATCCTCTTGTAATCCTGTGGCATTACAAAGTTTTTCACTAGTTTCCTAGATCATCTCGAGCAATTTAAAAGTAAACATTTCCTTTTAAATATAATTTCAATAGCACAGAAAGCCTCATAAAATGGAGTAATGGGTATTTGCAGGTTAATGGAGCAGAGGCCAGAATGAATCCAAATTGAACAATAATTACACAGTGAATTGACTCTCGCATCTATTCTTTTCCATGTGAAACATATCAATGTTCTACAATCATTGTAGATTTTCCCTGAAGGTAAATTAGCAGACATTGGTTCAACGGCCAACAGCACTGGTGCAAAACCTGACACACCTTCCTCACATCTGTCCACATGTTTTCTACAGCTGTAACCCCTGCTAATGTAATTAACCCAGCTGATGTATTAGACTATAGTTTTACCTTTGCATAAAATCAGAACTATTTTGTTCTGAGTCAGGAAGTGGCCTTACAATGTTTTACCAGACAAAAAAATTAATGATATTTCCTTGATCACATAATTCCCATGCACAGCAGGACATTGAGCTGTACATTTCACTTATTAAATGAATTTTGTAAGTAAATGTATCTATAATTATGTATATAATGTATTTAAATTTAAAAAGTATATCATCAATATAATATAGACATACAAAACATGATGAATGCAAAACTAAAATCTTTACAAATATTGTTTTCCCAGATAGCAGAAGACATGCATCAGATCAATAATATAATCATTAAATACGTTTTAACCTATTGTACTTTATTCCAAGTGAGCTGCATTGTTTTAAATGCTTCAACATGCTTGCCATCATTTAGCAAAATAAGATGCATGCTCCAGCCATCTTTTTGTTTACCACAATGCTGCATGAGAGCAGTAATATTCACACATTTTTATTTATTTATTGTTTTGCAATGAGCAATTTGACAAACAGTGAATTTATTTTTGCTATTTTATCCCTTGTACAATGTATGATCCCCCCTCCATATATACCCATACAATGGCAATGGGGAAACACATCTTCATTTGAGGGGATGTCGTCTCTCAGCATTAATGTTGTTTTATATAAGCAAAATTTGAGTTTACATTTTTCAGATCTAAAGATGGGTTACAATGTTATACTCCGATGGCAAACACAGTTCCTCTGCAATCATGGTGGCTACATTGGCAATTTCTGCAGTTGCCTACAACACATTCCATACTGATCCCTCCTGGGCTGACTTTTCTCATAGGAACCTGAACACACATCAGTTTAGCTATGCTGAAGGCCAGCTGAACATGCTCAGGAGCACCTTCCAAGGAAGCCAAATTCAGCCCTACCTAAGCCCAAGACCACAGAGGACTCATCGCCCTTGTAATTCTTGTGATGCTTTTCTGACTCAGTTGTTTTGACTGTCCTAATCTTCTGTATCCTGATTTAGAATAGTAGCCATCATTTCTATCATTTATGTTTCTGTGGCATAGTGAATACTTTGGTTTTGCATACTGCTTAAGGCATTCTGTATTTTCTACATTCTTGGACCACTTACAGATCTGGAATAGGACTTCTTTACTTTACCTTTTTCTGTACCTTCTTTGTTAGCATGACCTATGTTAGTGTGCTGAGTTGTACTATCCTAACAACATAGAACTTTTGGATTTGAACTACTATGTAGAGTCCACTTTGAACAGGGAAGTCACAGCCAATTACATAAACTCAGTATCAGAGTATACAGTTTTATTGGTTTAAGATATATTTCAGATATTCACCACTACAAGGCTTTAAATTAGTTAAAAAATAACATCCTCCCAAAACCCCACATGAAACATAATAATGCTTCCCTCCACAGAATGTTTCCTTCCTTTTGAAAATGTGTCCTCCAAGGCTCGATTCTTTTCCTTATGTTCAAGGCTTAAAAGGTTACTCCAACCATCACAACCACTACAGCCTGATGGTTATGATTTGATAAGTACCCTTTTCCCATCTCCCAGTGATACGGCAAACTTTTTTTGCTCTCCTACCCAGGTCTCTGTAGTCAGATTTACGACAACAGTCTGCAAAAGACGAATATCAATCCTACCACGAATTATTGACAACTCTCCCCTCAATGAATGAACGTCTGTGCAAATAAATATCCACAGAACCCCTGGCAGCAGAGGGTTTCATTTCTAAACGTGCAATGTTTCATAGTAAAATTTAGTGTCTGCCAAATATATAACCTTACCATTTAAACTGTCATGTGGTTGCATATCCCATTACAGTTACTTCTAGGTCCTAAAACTCTCACTGTATATGCAGAATGTCTTTAGCTAGAACAATGTTTAAAGCTTTAAGGCATCTTTAAAACGTCCACAGATTCTTCCAAGAGTACCTTTCACCTATAGTAAGTTTATAATGCCTGGACTGAAATCGAGTTGGAGAAAGGGCAGGGTTCCACAAGGAATTCCCAATTTCAATTCAAAATAGCTGAACAGGAAAGATTTTCTAAGTCAGCTTTGCTTTCAGTTTTAAAGTCAGAATTCTGACTTTAGTAAATAACCCCTTGTGTCTTACTTTCTGCGCTTGAGTAAGAGCCACTCTGCTCCTTTTTTACCTCTGGTCTTCATTTATACAAGGAGATTTGCACCACCATTTACATTTAAAACAGCTCTCACAGCGTGCCTGCATTTTTACTCGTATTACTACATATACTTGGGAAAGTCTTGGCTAACATTTGCTCCACTGACATATCTTTCTCTTAAACATTTGCAGAATTAGATAGTATACTTTAAAATTTCCTTACCAGCAGCTCACCTCGCAACTCAAAATCTTTATATTCCAGCATCAGGCAAACGTACAAAATCAACAATGTTATAGTCACTACATAGCAATCTGAGACCACATTTTAAATGGTTTAATATTTATCTGGTCCACTGAGCACCTGTGTTCTGGAGGTTTGATCCTATGTATTGGTTCCCGTCAACTTTAAATTGAACTCATTAGCTGGCACATCAAGTGACAGTTTCAGCCACTGAATTAATTTTTGAAAATTGTAAAATAAATATGTCTAATGCAGAAATTTTTGAAGAGGATCCAAAGATACTGCTGGACAGCACCAAGGGACTTGAGGCACCATCACATTTCAGGAAGACTATATGCCAAAAAAAAAAACCCACAATTAAATGAGATTTCATCCCCCATGACAACTTCATCTCAACGAAGTTGTTCTGGGACTGGAGTCACTGTGAGCTATATTACCTTACTTGATTAAACCATTTTTGAGTGGCCTAACCTCAAAGTTATACACCCAATGGACAATCATCTGCTGCTTCCTCTGGCCTCCATAGTGATCCAGAAGGTTTTCCTTATTGGCCAGTGATAGGCTGACTGCCCAATGCAAGTAATACTGTGTATTGTGAATTCCAATAGGCAGCTACAATTGCTGCAATCATAGCCAATGCCTATTACCAAACCAAAGATTTCCTGTATGGGCAGGAGTAGTACTGAAGAAGAAAACCTTGGGGTTAAACCATTTGAAAATGGCTCAACCTTTTAAGGTAATTGAGCACCCAGGTTCAATTTCACACAGTCCCAGGTACACATCTTCCTTTAAATTTTTTTGCTATTAAATCGCTGTGTTGAATTTACATTTATATCAGAAACAAAGATCACTCTATTTAATTGTAGTTTTAGCTGTAAATTAACATGCATATTAAACTATTGCGCATAAATCAAAGAGGGTACTGTTGCTTTGTATTTAATTAGCCCATCTCTACAAGGGACAGTGAGCCAATCACAATATATAAAGATTACTTCAGGCATTACCACTATTGTCTTTCATCCAGTTTCAATGAAATGCATATGTAATGTCCATTTTGTTCTAAAAGCACAATATTTGTTTATTTTAGTCTGCTGCCTTGCACTATGGATATGTCTCAAGCCTGGACTAAATTAATTCTCTGTAAAGAAAACATCCTTGATGTTTCGGAAATATTTTTTGTGCACTCTGCCTAGAGAATAAAAGGTAAACTGAAAAAAAAAGATAATTGAATCATACAAAGAGATTTCCTGAACTAATCACATTAACCCCACACTCTGTCTAAGAATATGAGATATAATGCTAAACATTCTGATTTGAATCTCTTTATCTATACAAGCGTTAAGTGTAATGGCAGTCATGAGTCAAAAGAACCCAGGGAGTGTTCAAGGTGAAGAAGCACATGTTGTGCAACCCTTTCAACATTTGAAACTATTTTTGGAATTGCTCCCAATGTTTTGTTCACACCAGCGGGTGGTTTAAGAGATAATCCCAGAGAGATTCTGGGTCTGACTTTCAATAACCAGTGACTTGTTTTTCTAACTTTTTTCTTTGAGTTCAAAGAAAAGTTCTGCCTATGGCACATTACACCATGTAAACCATCTCCTTACATGTGAGCACCATATTCAATGACCCATATGGTATAACAAGAGTGGCCAAGGCTAAATTGGATCTATACGATTCTTGTTGTGAAATATAGTCATCACTAATTGACGTAATAAATCAAAGAGCTCACTCGTAATTTAATTCATTACAGAGTCACAATCTATCATTGACAAAGAAGCAAGGTGCTTCTTGGGTGCTCTGAGTAAACTTATCACTGACTTACGGTAAATGGTGAAACACAACTGAAGCTCTCCATAAGCCTGCAGGGGAAACGTTCCTCTTTAGTTTAACTTCATTTTACATTTTTATTTTCCTTTTATTCCCATATGTTTTGTATATTGTATATTTTAGTATTATGACACCTATTCTTGTATTCTCTCCTTCCGAATGCTGCACACATATACGATCAGTGTAGCTTTAACTTCATGGACGCATGTCTCTTTTCAGCTTAGGTAACTATGTAACTGTTATTTCAAAACATTTAGATCAAGTGGTGTTTGCAGCACTCTGGAGATTCATATTAGGACTGGTAATTGTTTTGGTTCTATGAGCCTTTAAAAATATATGTATTGTGAAGACATGAAGAGTAGGTGCAAACACATGCACAAAAAGCACTAGGCAATCAATTTTCTTATCTCTGCAAGCCTTCTGCCTGTAGATTTTTACTGGTAATATACTTTATGTATACTATGTGTAAGCAGTACCTCCACTGAGCCATTGTTTAATTAATTTAGCTTCATAGCCCACCTCACTCAGAGATGCTAAGGGACCCAGGTCTCATGTGCCAGATGATCCAAGTTTAGTGAACTTTAGTACATAGTTCACTAAATAAACCCAAAAAGAAACTAACATTAAATATTTCATGTTTTGATATTTAAAAGAACACACAACAGTGAATTTTGAAAAATAAATAAAATGTTGTAAAATAATAAAAAAAAATCTCTTCATTTCCCTTTTTCTGCTTAACTTGAATTTTCCCAGTAATCCGATGTTCCTCTTGTGTACTCAACAACTAATAGTAACTGGCTGGGCTATTACTGCCAATCTCTTCATATTAATTTATTAACCTATTGACTGCAGAGTGGATATTGTAAAAACTAGAAAGAGATAATATTTCTCTCAAATATGGTATGCAAAATGGGTTCCTAAACAACGGAAACAGTTTAGTGCAAGGAGCTGATGATAGATGTCCAAAATTGTATAGATGAATTTTTCATAAAAAAATGCACTACTGATTACATATTATATCATATAGTGTATTACATGAGACTGGTTTTAAAATGTTAGCACAGAAGCATAAAAAGTACTACTTACAAGATATGTATACTATCTGATTATGGGTAATTGGTAGGAACTTTTTTTCAGTTTTTAGAAAATAAACCTTCACTAATGCTTTCATAATGTTTATAGTTAGTGATGTCCCGAACGGTTTGCCGAACGGTTTGCCGAACGGTTCGCGAACGGTTCGCCACGGACTCATCATTGAGTAAACTTTGACCCTGTACCTCACAGTCAGCAGACACATTCCAGCCAATCAGCAGCAGACCCTCCCTCCCAGACCCTCCCACCTCCTGGACAGCATCTATTTTACATTCATTGTGAAGCTGCATTCTTAGTGAGCTGTCCAGGAAGTGGGAGGGTCTGGGAGGGAGGGTCTGCTTCTGATTGGCTGGAATGTGTCTGCTGACTGTGAGGTACAGTGTCAAAGTTTACTCAATTATGAGTCCGCGGCAAACCGTTCGGGACATCACTATTTATAGTACATAATTCCTGCATACATTAAAGACCGCTGATAAAACCAAACACTTTTACTATACAGAGCAATGTCGGTTCTTATTGCATCCCAGACATAAACACAGAAGTGTGAGTCCTCTGTCCCATTCCTTGGAAGTCTATACTTCTGAAACATGCAATAAACTGTAAAATAGCGATGAGACGGGATATTTACCTTCCTTCTGTGTGATGCAGAGAAAGTTACTGGAAAATGTCTTTCCAAAAGGAAAAGATTGGTTCTAGATCAAATGGAAATGTAAGTGGGCTTATGCCAAACAGATTTTAGGCATTGCTTTGAAACACAAGGTTAAATTAAGCCTGTGTAGACTAGGGTTGGAAGGAAAGAGATTTAGGTACCCATATGTCATTATGACAACTTCCTCGTTGGCAATTTAGACAATAATTTGCATGTCTTAAGTAACTTTAAATTCTTTCAAAGCATTGCATATGGATCTAATCCTAATCTAGGCCTTTTCAGTCAGGTAAAGTCTAATTTAAGAAAAGGGTTCTTTCCATTTAACCTTGTATCTGTTTTAGTTTTCTTGTCACAAAAATAGACAGTGTATTTCTTCCATTGCTTAAAGGAACACTATAGTGTCAGGAATACAAACGTGTCCCTGACACTACAGTGCTGGAATGCAGCTTTAGGTCCCTGCCCCCTCCCCTCCTGAAATTAAAGGTGATTTTACTCACCTTTTCTTCCATGCTGTGATGGTCTAACAGCAGCTGGCCCTGCCTGGTCCCACCTCTGTGGATAAGATCATCAATTTTGATGATCTCAGCCAATCCAATGCTTTCCCATGGGAAAGCATTGCAGGGTTATTGCGCATTGCGGCAAAATGCAGCACTGCGTTAACCAGCATTTCCACATAGAGTTGCATTAAATTAATACATCTCTATGGGGATGCTCAGTGTCTCTATGCAGCACTGATACAGGAAGCACCTTTATTGGCCACCTGAGTGACTTCCACTAGAGGCCACTAACTGCCACTAATCAGCAATGTAAGCACTCCCTTTTCTCTGAAAAGGCAGTATTTAATGTGCCAAGGCTGCAGGGACATTCTATAGAAAAACAAGAACCACTACATTAAACTGTAGTGGTTCTGGTGTCTATAGTGTCCCTTTAAGATGTTTAGTTGTCAGAACATTTAAATGGCTGCAGATACATTGTGAACAGCTGTGGACGTCTTTGCTGTGTTTGGGATCATTTAAGGTTTAACATAAAGCTTTGCACTTAACACATCAATTCACAGGTCTTTTACTGTTTTCAGACTGCATGTGAGATCAGAGATGTCTGAAATTTCATTATTTGTTTTTGGCAGATCTTTTCTTATTACAATAAAGGTTCTGGTACTCTCTTATAATCTATTGAGACCAATTCTCAGCACTACTGAGTATCTCCCCAGCTCTAGTTTTAAATGCTTGTGTCATGGACTTGACCTACTCTGTAAAAATGAACATTTCGAGAATATGTCATCTATAAAATGCAATTATTTAATGGTAAACCCTTTTGCATATATCCACAAGCTGCATAAAACAGTTACATAATGTTATTTTTTAGCACTGTGCAACATTCTGTGGAAGATATCTCGATCTTATCTGGCAGAATTTAATATAATTTGGGGTTGATTAAATGTTGTTCCTAGGAAATTAGGAACAAGTGTTAAAAATGTTTTCTAGTCTTGTCATTTCTCCGACAGTAGAATTCACACAAATAAAACTCTGTTACATGTTTCACCATTGGCATGTGAGTCAGGCCTCACTTCCAGTAATGGACATTTTTTTCTTGTATGATCCAGTTACCTTGTTTGAATTAGACCTTATGTGAATATTGTGGTATTTATATATTATTGTTGTTGCCATCTAGTATGTTGATAAAATAAATATTTTGTTAAGTTGTCTATGCATCTACGCCAGAACCAGGCCATACAAAATCTCTAAAACACACACTAAACTATGTTTTCCCTTATCTTACAGACTCTAGTTCCCATATACACTGAATATCTTTATGATATTCCATTAAAGGCAGATAATTTCATGACACCTGATATCTAATATGCTATTCATATCCCATGGTACAGTGCTGTGGAATTCTATGGCGCTATTTAAATAATAAAATAATAATATAGATTTCTTCTGAGCCAAAAGGAACTAGTAATTCACTAAAAATATTGGTAAGTAGTGCACATGTAAGTAGAAATTTTGTCCAAGTAGAACCGTTTTCCTCAAAAACAGAAATTTTTGGGATGACCAAATTTCAGTCGAATGTCAGTTCGAGTCCGGAGAATTTTGGTACCAAGCAAAAAATGGGTCAATCAGTGTGCTGCAAATACATGATATATTATTAATATATTATTATTATTATTATATACATATTGAATTATACTAGGAACATTTCCCTGCCATTTGATTAAGTGAGAAAAAGTAACCAATAGAAAGAAAAGAGACTTAGTATAAAAACTATATTTATATATTATATATTTAGTAAAAATATAATATAAAAGTATATAAATACAGACTTTTTTACTGCTCCTGTTTTGGTTCTTTTTCATGCATTTCGGTTAGTTTGTTATTCGGGTACATTTTGGCTCAGAGTTTGGAAATTTGACCAATCATCCAACTGGCCTAAATTCAGAGAAGTTGCAGTTTGGAACAAAAAACAAATCTCCAAGTCTATTAGTAAGAACATGACCGAATATATAACCACTGGTTACAATTTAGAAATTAATTGTTAAATGCCTATGTCTTACCAGGTGTAGACAACACCAGTCTTTGAATGTCAACAGGAGGTTAGACATTTCAGAACATATTAGAGTCAGTGTATCTGCAGTGTATTGGCTAAGAGGTTCAAAATGTATCTATTGTGCTCACTAAGGGGTCTAGTTCTGTGTACACTCAGTGTAATAGCTAAATGCTACTCTTTAAATTTGTTATTTTTTGCCATGTTTAATGCATTCTAGAAGTCTATGTTTATATGCTAGTCACATGTTGGTATAATATGTGGGTTTTAAAGATATTGTAGGTCAAGTTTATTTGAGAGTACCACTTAAACATCACACCCTAAGATGTAACTTGCACCCCTGTCTCTGAAATGTATTTAAATACTTTAACTATAAAGTTGGTGAATTATTTCCAGCTTCCATCAAACTGATGTGACCACTGAAGGTGTGATACGCAGTAAAATATATCTGGATTGTGGCACCTGGAGATCAGGGTTCCTACTGACTACAACTGGCACGTATCCTATGCTGTAAGTGGTTGTAATCTTTATATTTTCAACTATTCAACACTGCATGATATGTTGATGGTTAATAAATCAGCTGTTGGAACAAAGATAATAATAATAACAACTTGTGTAAGAGTTGTAAACCTGATATTGGTCCCATGGGCTGCTAGCTCCAGAACAATTTATAAACTGTTAGTGTCTGATGACACATAAGAGATTTATATTCTTCAAGCTATGGTCTGTGACCTCTTCCTGTGGCTTTCGTATTTCTGTTGTCAGTTTGTGTTTTCTTAGCCTGGATAACTTAACTAAATATAAGACAAAAAGACAGTGGGTGTAGTCTGTTAGTCAATATGAGAACCAGTAACCTAACGCTGTTGATAAAATAACACTTTTATCAAAATAAAATTTTATTAAAATAAAAATTTCACTAAAAGCAATTAAAATAATTCAATTATTGCACTCATTAATGTATACATTTAAACAAATGTAAAGTCATAAAATCTTATACATTCTGAGTTAAACAAGCGTAAAGTCTAATTCCTGAAATGGAACCAAGAATATAATCAAACATTGCCCAGATTTATTATAAGGGGGGATGCAAAATCTGATATCTATAAATGTCTAGACAGTAAATCTTCCCTATTATACTTGATACTTGAAAATTATTAGCTACATCATAGTAAAGTGTAGCTTAAATTCCTCAAGTCTTAAAATAAGATAATATATATAAAGATGTGTAATATATATATATTGCCAAAAGGGTGGGCCAACATTCAGAATAGGATCTAACAGGATAGAAACTCATTTGTTAGTAGTTCCATTTTTTTGTTACATGTACGTATTATAACTGAGTCTTGGGAGATTCATCATGGGTAATTTCACGAAGGAACAATGAATAAAAATAGTAGAATTTTATTTTTAAAATGGCAGGACAATTATTTTTACACAAAGAGTTTACCGCTGCCACTTTAATGTAAGAAATGTGGTTTCAACAGGTTGTGGTTACTGCTTATACAGTCAGGGGCCACACTGAACCTCCTGATACTACTGATCGGTTAGCAGATCATTTCAAGAAATTCACAGATTAATTGGGTTCCATTTTCGCCCGACCTTTCAACTACAAATTACTTCCTGTGGGCATATCTGAAGGAGCGGACTCCTGTGAACAAATCACATACACTTGAGCAGCTCAAGGAGAATATCCGTGCGGAAACTTCCTGCAGGCATATCTGAAGGAGCGGATTCCCGTGAACAAATTGCGTACACTTGAGCAGCACAAGGAGAATAACAGTGCGGAAATTTAAGTGCTAGAGCCTGAAATATTAACTGATGTTGTGAACATAGCATTCAAAAGAGCCGACTTTGAGAGGTGGCAAATGGAGCTCATTTAAACGATGTTATCTTCCGTACCTAGTCAAACAAACCTCCCTAAGTTAAGCATTCATTTGTTAAGTAATTTCACTATAATTGGGACAGAAGTTATTGACTCCTCATACACTATTCAGATTGTCTGCCCACCCTGTATATATATATATATATATATATACAGTATCTCACAAAAGTGAGGGAACATATAGAGAAAAAAGTGGGCTGATAGTTCTAGCTTGGGAGCTGACAAGATGCTCAGTGGAATCAATGGAAGCTCTTTACAAGAGCAGGAGGAGTAGAGGGGGAGGTAACAAATGACTGGAGGACCTATACCATGCTTTCCTTGGCTGCGCAGATTCCTGAGGACCACTGCCGATACCCTGCCAACACATAATTCTAGTATTACACAGTCTGCTCCTATCCTCCAGGCTGCTGAACATTCTGTAGCTACCCTGGTCAAAAGAGAGAAATAAAATCATATTTAAAAAAAAAACCATAAAAGGGCATTTCATTAAAGTGTTCAGAAAAAGGAAAGGCCATGAAAAACCAGTGAAATATATGGTTTTGAAATGTAGTAAGCAAAAAAACAAGATGGTCCAGGCACAGTCAGATTTTCCTACTTCAGTTTCAATTCAAATGTAGTACAGTTTAACCATCACATTTATGGGGATTGTTTTTATTATTAAATTAATAAGCCAATCTTTCTTTAGCTGAGTTCAACATTTGAGATAATATGGGTTCTTGGGTAGGTGAACACTGTTTAACAATACCAAGTAGGTAGGTCAAGTAAATAATCTGTAAAGAATAACTGGAAAATGTAGATAAATATGTTAAATGATTATCTAGCTAAAAGCTTTCATAGTAATCAATTGAAATTCTATTATGTTACAAACTGAAGTACCAATAATACGATATTTTGGTAATTGCTTTTCAAGTATATCAATCTTACATGTCAAGTTATTACTATACACTGCTGAAAACCTTTATTTGTCAATCATGAAAAATAATCCCCATACAAATAAACAATTTTGCTCCTCAGGAGGACCTGAAAGGTTCTCTTGAAAGGTTCTCTTTGAAATTAACCTACACATTCCTTATGACAAGCCATTTTGTTTGTTTGTGTTTTTGTACTTGTCTTTGTTTTGAGCCATTGTGACTAGTGAAAAATGTCACCATAACAGCATTATGTTTAAATGTGGTTATAAAGAGCATAGACCTCACCTTTCAAAGCTTATAAATAGAAATGTCAAATAGTTAAACATAACAAAATTGTTTCTTTATTACTATAGCAACAAACACCTACACATGATAACATGGCCCTCATTCTATGGGTGCATACCATCATCACATACATTAGATAAAGGTCATATGACATTGAAATGCAGGTGTTTTTATGAAGTCGAATGAAAACATTCTGTTAACAAGACATGTCCAACACTTGTGTACTCTTGTGTATAAAGACTAAAAGGATAATAGACACATATTAAATAATTCCCGCCATCACAGACAGTAAAGTTAATGTATGATTATATAAGTTACTCTAGCTTGGTTAGATGAAAAGAATGTCTGTAGAGAATTGTGTTTTAAACTGATCTATGTAAGAACATTTCACATAACAAAGATATCTGATATCTGAAAGAAAATTGATGTTGAGAATAAAACCAACTTCTTAAAAATACATTTGATTTTTTTTAATATTTTTTATTTTATTTTTTGCAACATTACAGTAAGAAGGCATATTACTGGTTTATATTTTAAATACAAATTAAATGTGAATCTAAACAAACATAAAACACTGTGATATGTTTTTGAATTTTAACCAAAAACGGTCCATCATATATAAAATTCAATATTAATACATGACGTTGCACACTGTATTAATATATTACGTTGCACGCTAGGCGTTCCAGGAAGTCTAATACCTATTTGCCTGATTCACTGACTTATTGGTCTTTATTATTATAAAGAAGTCGGCAAAATAAGCCACCAATAATAAGCCGTTCTTAGAATTGATATTCAAGTTACTACATATTTATTTTTTGTAAACAGATAGCCGTCCAAGTGATAGGGCTGGTAAGTGATGCTTTACTCTCCCACATGTTACTGTTGTCAACAAATGTCTTAAAGTATATTTCGTATCTCAAGTATGTAATATGAGGTATATTTATTTTTGGATTGGGATGGTTATTGGCCATAGTTTTAATGATTAGATGTAAAAGAAAATGAGGACAAGCAATTCAAAACTTGTTATTGAGGGGTGGAAGGATGTAAATCAAAATGGAATTGGTCATATTCTTTCTTTGCTTTAGTGATTTGAGAAATGGATATCCCCCAAAAAGTTTATTTTTCATAATTAAACCTGAATCTGAAATCCAAATGCTGTGTGAGGCTCAAGTGGAGTTGATTGTTGATAGTGGTTTGTGTAGATCAAGTAAATGATAAAGGAATATGAGGCCATTTTATTTATTTTATTACTGTGTTATTGCTACTGCTAGGCTGTCTTTTAATACTTGTATGTGAAGTCAAGAGAAAATGAAACATGGGAGTTTTACACTACGAACAATCCATACATTATTGAATTTTCAAACTACAATTAATTCAATTAAATACATTATTTCAGTGAACTGAGTGTCCTCAGATCTGTTGTCCAATTTGGATATTGACAACTGGCATATATTTAATAAGTTGCTATTTATTTTTGATTGAAGTGAAGTATATCCATCCGCCACCCACCGCACGAAAGGATGAATGGAACCGAGATGGTAATACCTCGGCACCCTTACGATACCGACATGGAAGGGAGGCATGAACCGCACACGCCGTACCTGTGGGTGGTACCGGCGTGTGACGACGAATTTGCATCGGCTGCTTACCCTCCGTTTTGGGGATATTTAAACTCGCAGAGGGAACCTAAGGACATTAATTGATTTTATCCGGTTGAAGAAGCCAAGTTGATATTGGCGAAACGCGTCCCGGTCTTTTTTTTTTTTTTTTTTCTTTATTTTTATTGTGCAGGTGGGTACAGAGTGTAGTCATGCGCCACAACAGCGTTCAATAATATGGTAACATAGTAAGATTAAACAGTGGCTTTAAAAACTTGCACTTTTTGTTTAAAGGTATGGTAAATTAAGTAGTTTTCTCTATGCATTAACAATCTATTTGCCAGTATATATGCTTGTAGCATCCTAACTGCTCTGGCACGTAGAATTACACTTATGAGAGGAAACCGTGATCTAGCAGGAACATGCTGACTATTGTGTTAGAAAAGGACTGGTTACTCGCTGTTTGCCCTATTGCTCCAGAGGCTATTTCACTCATTGTAAGTTAACATGCTTGCAACCGGTATGTCTCTGAATAAGTGCCTTAGAGTTACCGCTTGGTAGGTCACATCATGGTGAGGTAACCAGGTCTTAGACATAATAACAACAAAAGATAAAGCTTGAACTGATAGCATAAATGCCTATAGGACCTAATATGCTATGCTAGTGTATATGTTAGATCAAGTGTTATTTATGGGTGTGCGTATTGAGTGGCAACGTAAGGTTAATCATAAGCATTTGCATCAATATCTGTTACTGTCGCTTTAGATCTTTAAGGTGAGACAGCATAAACATGGTATACCACGCTAAATGCGACAACACTGTTAGTCTTAATTAGATATAGATGCGAAATCTGCATTGTATCTACTGCAGACAGATCTAATCTACAGCAACACAGGTTAGGTATAGTGTTGAGGCTCATTATAAGTGTGATCGTATGCTGACTTTACATTTATAAGATAAACTCCAATTATAACGGTGCATGGCTTAAGAGCCTTTATGTAAAGCTATGTCAGCGTGAGATGAAGGTTAAAAAAAATAAAAAATGTTAAAAAAAAAAAAAAAAGACATAACTAGCAAAAACATTTAAGCATCAACTGGTGGCAAAGAGAACTGGGTCAGTTAGCCACACAGCACTGGCAATGCAGGAGTGATCTGCCCTGGCAGTAAGCCTGGCATGCCAGTACAGTCAAGCAGTCATTCAACCAATTCCCTGGCTGGGCTGTAAGCTTCCATGTGGAGACAGTTCATGCAGGGCTGCCAGTGGCCCGTCAGGCGACAGATGCAGTATAGTTGGTGTTTGCTGTTGCGTACTGGATCGTCTGGAGGGTCTGGGCTTCACACACCGGGCCTTGCCGATGTCTAAGGGATTACATTTTGGTTCCCTCACAGGGTATCCCTTGTGCTGCAGCAGGGTCTTTTCACCAAACGGGTTATGACCGAGGTATTGCCGCTTGCGCCAGAGTTTCTGCTTTGTACTTTGTGTTGCCGCGTAAGGGTCTCCTCTGTGCTGCTTGCTTTTATTGATTTGCCTGAGCCGTGTGTGTGGATGGCCCGGCGGGAAGCGAGGCTTCTTCGGTGGCGTCGATCGGGCGCCATGGCGCTGGGCTGCTGACCGCCGGTTTGGCTGTAGTGTCTGCTCAGGAAGGTCAGTACTGTGTGGTAGATATAGCCTGCACTCCAGCTGCTTCCAGAACCTTTTAAAATGTCTGTGGATCCTCGCCAGGACATCTTGTGCAGCATCAGTGGGGCTCCCAGCTTCTGTAATTTCCGCCATCTTAAGTGAAGCTCTACGCTCTCGCTTTGCCCATGAGGCGGCCTGTGTTGCTTTGGCTCGCCGTGGGTCATCTCCGCTGGGTGGACCGGGATCACCCCCGCCGGTCCAGAAGGGGGGGTAACGGGGCTTGCTCATATTGTATGTATCGTCGGAGCGTCTCTGGGTCAGGAGAGCGGCCGTCTCTCCCGCCCGTTGTGAGCTAGGCCGCACTGTCAGTCGCGGTACCAGCAGATCTTGCGCGGGTCTCTTACCCTCCCACTGCATACCCTCTGTGGCAGGGAGCTTATGTGAGTGTGGTATTGTTGTTCGTTTCGCTGGGTACCGTCTTAGATCGCCTATATCGCTATAGTTTAGCGGGAGCCCTTGAGAGACACGTCTCGTCGCCATGATGGTTAGGCCCCGCCCCCCGTCCCGGTCTTTTTTAACACATGGAGGCTTCTTTTATTTGTACTTATATTTGTTTAAATCAATTTTTTATTTTGTTTTCATCGATCCTGGTTCCCAGTATTATTACATACAAGAGGGATTGCAGCCCCTAATCTGCACAGCGCTGGAAAATTGAGTCATTATCTTATGATTCCACATTTGTGAGTGATCATTTGGGGTTATATAATTTTATATTCCATACATATTTCTGCAATACTGCGCAATCGGTTGTGCCCCCTTTCTTCTCTTATAGAACAAGAAAGATATCGAGAATAGGGGTGGGTCGCCTAAACGGACTCAGAGGCTAACCAAACCAGAGCTGGGTCTATAGCTCTCCGTTTGTGAGTGCAAACATAATAGAATTTCTATATACCGTTTTATAATGTATGATTTGCACTATGCTTAATTATCTTTTATAGGCATCTACTTGTTGGGCCTGTTAGAAAAATCCTCCTCTAAACAGCTTTATAAGGTGATTAATTATTATCTTTTTATATAAGCGCTACATTCTTATATTTTTTACCATTCTAAAGGTGTATGTCTGCCTGTCTATCTTTGGCTACTTAGCTAGCTATCACTAATAGTAAAAACATAACCTATGTATGCATCCCATCCTCTAGACTAGTTTATGTTATATAGATTTTTTTTATTGAGAATGATTAGAGTGTGCAAAGATATCAATAATAAAATTATATCAAGTGATTGCAGCTGTGATACTTGCACAACATATAACATAGACAGAATTCTAATTTCATATTGCCATATTGGAAAGGAATTAGGAACTAGGAAAAGGGAAGTGGGGGATATAGAGATTATGCAGCAAGAGTGCCATCATTCTGGCTGGACCCATAAATGGGATATCAGAAGCTTGAGAAGCAAGGTGTCAGCTGGCTCCCCTAGGGCACTAGGATACTGCAAGCAACTGACACACGTCATATTAACCCACCTGGGCCAAAGGTCACCATGAGATTACCTCTCTTTTATTGACCACACCAGTGGAGCACCATACGCATAAGGCAACAATAGACCACACCAATTCTCTGCTATCCCTTTAATGAGAAGGACTTGGACTGTGTAAGTCATTAACTCTGTAGATCAGTGATGCAGGCCACTGAACAGGCTTGGGGCTTTTCAGTTTCACTCCGGCCAGCCTGAAATGGGGTTGATTCATTTTTTCTTTGATTTTTCTTTGATTTTGATTTTTTAAAGTACAGTTGCTGGATGTCTGGCCTCACCTTTGTTTAATTGCAGCCATCAAAACACCTCCCCAAGTGTGGGAATAGGCTGATCCGGGAATCACTTAATCATACAGCCCCGCTATCTACACCTACTATGTGTCAGATCATATAGCAGACATCTACTATCCTGCACTTTGAGAATTCTTTGAGTTTTCTTTTTACTTTTCATCTTAGTTTACTTTTATTGCACATTGCGTTTGTAGAGGTGCAGTCACTGTTCTTTCAGTCACAGTGTAATTTTCTAGAGTAAAGTCCTAGTATGTGTATTATCTTTATTACTTCACTTACTCTATAAGCTACTCTATCAGTTACTCTATCAGCTGTCTACATGTCTAGAATGTTATGTAACTAGCTAATTGGTTACCTTGCTATATCTAGACATGTCCATCTAACGTGTTTCCCATATATTAAAAATTGTGGACGTTTTTTTTTTTAAATGTATTTTATTGTTTTCTTGTTGCAAAAACACATTTGTTGCAAAAAACACATTTACGTAGGGAGGGTTACAGAAGAGAAATGTTGGGCATGGCAGACAGTGATTACATGAGATTGTTACACAGTTCTCAAGTGGGTTTTGCAGTATAATGTTATACATAGTTTCCAGGCGGGTATTACAATGAGGGTTTTAAACACTTCCCTAGTGGGCTACCAATATAATTTGGTATGCAGAGGTTTATTATAGATATATTCAATTACAACATTTCCCACTTGCTTTGCGTGCTGTCCCACATGTGCATGTCTCTTCACGTTGACAGTGTCCCTTGACATATGCATTGGGTTTCCTCTCCCTAAAGTTCTCGCTTGATGTGTATGAACATTTTGAACATATTGAACATATTAAAACTGGGGGGGTAGGGGGAAACTAGGGTGGAGGGAGAGGAGGTTGGGGGTCTCTGCTTATTCATGCTGTGTGGGTGTATAGTTTTTCTATATCCGGTTATGTAGAGAGAGCCTGGCCATCGGGTGTTAAGTATATTCTTGGGGTTTTCGTACATCCTCTTTCAGTGTGGCCTTAATAATAATAATTCCCATGCATCTCTCCAGAACCTCTTGGGTGGCCTAGCTAACCTAGCCATAACCTCGTACATCTTTGTAGTTTGGATTGTTTGAATACAAAGATTCATGTCTGGAGTGGCTTCTGAAAGCCATGTCTTGCTTATTGTTAACAGGGCTGCTACTATAATGTGGTAGGCAAGGTATCGCACGGTTTTCATTATATCAGTAGGGAGGTGTAGTAGCAAGTACGTTTCTGGGAGTAAGGGTATTGTTATGTCTGTTTTGGTCTTTATTAATTGTGCTACTTTGTCCCAAAATATTGTGAGCCCTGGGCACGTCCACCACACGTGATACATTGTGCCTGGTGCGGACCTACATCTCCAGCATAGATCTGACCCGCCTGGTTTCATGTGTTTGAGCCTCGTGGGCACCATGTAACAACGGTAGAGGATCTTTCTGGTTAATTCTATATGTGTTGCACTTAAAGTAAGCGTTTTGTTTGCTAGATATATTTTGGACCACTGTGTTTGGTCTAGTGTTTTTTGGAAGTCCAACTCCCATGCCTTGGCGAAGGGGGGTTTCTCTGGGTATGAGTGTTTTGTGGTCAATGCATATAGCGTTGAGATAAGTTTGGTGGGAGCTTTTTTTTTTATTGCAAAGGTCTGTGATTTTTCTCGTTTGGGGGGTAGATATCATGTTTGTCTCAATATTCGGTTGTTTTGTTAGCCAGGATTTGATCTGGAGATATGAGAGGAAGGCTGTGTCAGGAAGACCAAACGTGGCTTGGAGGTGTGTGATCGAGTGTATGTTCTGGGCATGGAGAAAAAGTTGTAAGCGGCTAATCCCGCATGCAGTCCACTGTGTCGTGGAGAAGGTGGGTAAAAGGGTCGCAACCACCTTTAAGGGGGTTGTTAGTGATACAGATGTCCCCTCTTGGGATTTTATTTGCTATGTGTCCCATACAGAGAGGGTCAGGGTGGTGGTGGGTAGCATGTGTTTGTACTTTGGTCTGATGTGGTGTGGGAGCCACATAAGCTCATTGGTTGTCAGGCCCTCTATATATGAGGCCTCTATTTGAGTCCAGGTCAGTCGGGTTTTCAGATGGTGTGCTGCAATTAAGGGGCTTAGTTGAGATGCTATATAATATTTGGCTATTATGGGTACGCCAAGTCCCCCATCTTTGCATGGTTTGCGGAGTATTGCGTCCACCACTCTGGGTTTTTTGTAGTCCCATATATAATTATTGAGAGTTTTTTGCATATTGTTTTAGGTAAACGGGGGGGGTAACCTGATGGGCAAGGTGCGGAATAGATATTGTAGCTTGGGGAGAAGGATCATTTGTACGGCTGCTATTCGGCCTAGCCAGGATATAAATTTACCTTTCCATGTGAGTATCCTCTGTGTAATGTCATAACCGCCTTGTGTGCCTGCCATACCATTACGGAGGAGACCTCCGGTGTTTCGTTTGTCTTGAAGTATGAAGAGATTTCTGTCTGTAAGGTCATTTTGAAGTCATAGTTATTTAGTAGGTAGTCAGGCATTTGCCATGGTGTTTTGCCCCTGTGTTGGAAGTTGTCCGTGAGTATTAGGTCTAATGGGGCATGATCCGTCCATATGCTGTCTCCTATGTGAGGGGAGAAGAGTTTGTGCCATTAAAGCGGGTCTATTCTGGAGTGTGTTTTGTGCATTGGGGAGAAATATGTGTATTCTCAATCGTTTGGGTGCTTGGTTCTCCATGTGTCATATATGTCATATTCGATGAGTAATTTGGTCAGTGCTTTACACTTCGGTACCAGTGATGTGTGTCTTGGGGTTTGCTGTGACAATGTTGTGTATAAATGAGGGTATAAAACATGGTTTAGGTCTCCACACATGATCAGATAAGGCATTTGTGGTTGTGGTATTTTGGAGAGTACATGGTGTAGAAAGTTACGTTGGTTGGAATTTGTGCCATATATTGTGGCTAGTGTGTATGTTCTGTTATTAATGAGGCAGTGTAAGATAATATATCTCCCCTGTGCATCCTTTTTAACTTGTAGTAACTCGAATGTTAGGGAGTTGTGTAGGAGTATAGATACCCCTCTGGCTTTGGAGGTGTGTGAGGAATGGTATTGAGTTGGGTAGTCCCTTAGTGCAAATTTGGGCACTCGGTTATGGACAAAATGTGTTTCCTGTACACAGAGGACGTCTATTTTATCTTTTTTTGTGGAGTCTAAAAGAACTCGCCTTTTATGCGGCGTATTCAAGCCGTGAGCATTAATGGATCTTACACATATGAATGTTGTGATAGAGTGGGTTTGCTTTTGAAGGTTTGATTCTTGGTGTGTTGTTTGTTTGGTCGGTATTTTGTTGGGAAGATTAGTTGTGAAAGGGGTTATAAAACTTGGTGAGGATTAGACTGGATGTGAACATGGCATAGGTGTATGTACAGAGTTCACCAAGGGGAAGTGTGGTGCATGTGTTGTGCACCATGGGGTTAGGAACTTTCGGTTCCAGTGCATGTGGCTAGTTGGCCATTTGTAGTTCTCTACATTTGGACAGAAAGTATATATTTTTTCTCTTTGTGGTGATAGCCTAGTGAACTCGTGTCTTGTTATTTTGTTGTGGGGGAGTGTTTCGCCTTGGCAGGTGCTTGCTTAGTGGGTCATACCGCTCGGATGTTGGACTGTGTTTCCTTGTGGCTGTTCCGCTCCCACCCCCTCCCTCTGACCAGGGTGTGCCTGCGTC